CAATGGGATGGCGCACGCCAGGCCATTTCCTGCGCAGGGCAGGAAACGTGATTATTAAAAAATGCCGAGCCCAGGTAAGGCAATATCGTAGCACTGGTTCCAATTTGCTGACTCCAATCACGCCATTTTGCAAATGGTTTTGTTCGAGGGCCCTCGGCTGACTCATGGGATTTGGAGTGGATGCATCCTCTACTTTTAAACCGATTAATCGGTTACATTGCAAGACATTTGCACATAACCTAAATGGCAACATCTGAGCCACTAAAAGAAGTGTAAGATAACTACAAATTTGATTTTTTTTCCCTTAAAGTGACTATTCGCCATGAAAAGAAAGGCTCTGCTATTTCTATTTTCATGCCATGCAAAAAGAAGGTAGCCACATCCTATACAGGAATGGAAATACACATTATTCTGCTTTATCAATAGCAAATACTAATCATTTCCTTGGCTTCATCTACACTGCAGAATTAATGCAGTTTGGCACCACTTTAACTGCCATGGCTCAAGGCTATAGATTTCCAGGATTTGTAGTTTTGTGAGATATTTAGCATCTTCTATCTGAGAGCACTGGTGCCACGATAAACTACAAATCCCAGGGTTACGTAGGATGGAGCCGTGGAAGTTAAAGCGGTGTCAAACTGCATTGATTTTTCAGTGCAGCCGCAGCCTCAGTGTATGCTTTATTTTATTTTTTTAAGAAAAAAATTGTTAAAGTTTTAATTAGGAAAAAGTAGTTGAAGATAGGATTAATTAGTACCTGGAAGATATGAGATACAAACAAGTATGACAAGATGGAAGTGAGAATGTCTGTAAGTTATTGAAGGTATGATGATGTGAAGGAAGGAGAAGAATGTATGGAAGGCATTTGAATAATACGTCCTTGTGTTGTATTTTAAAAGGCAATGTATGTAGGATAAAATTTAACAAAAATTACTACAGTATGTCCTTGGTATACACTGGAGTTTGGTGCCAGGATCCTGCCATGGATCCCAAAATCCAGGGATAGTCAAGTCCCATTACATCATAGTAAAATGGTATTCCTTATATAAAATGGCAAAATCAAGCTTTACTTTTTGGAATGTATATATTTTCAAGCTGTGGAAGCTTGAATCAATGGATAAAATATCCATAGATATGGAGGGCTGACAGTATTACTCTTTTTAAAAGGATGATGATGATAATGATAATGCAAAAAAGCTCAGATCCTTCCAAGTTTAATTGAACAATTAATTCACAATTGCAGTTCAGTTGCTGGGAATCAGAAACATCATTCCTCGGAGGATGGTGGATTCTCCTTCTTTGGAGGTTGTTAAATGGAGACTGGATGGCTATCTGTCACAGAAAGGGCTTCAATTGTGTCTTTTTGCATGGCAGAAGGAGGCTGCTTTGGATTACCCTTGGTGTCCCTTCCAAATTTAGGATCCTATGTATTCCTGCATGGCAGAAGGGGATCAGATTGGATGACCCTTGGGGGTCCCTTCCAAATTTGGGATCCTATGTATTCCTTCCAAATTTGGGATCCTATGCATGCCAGAAGGGGGTTGGATTGGATGACCCTTGGGGTCCCTTCCAAATCTAGGATCCTATGTATTCCTGCATGCCAGAAGGGGGTTGGATTGGATGACCCTTGGGGTCCCTTCCAAATCTGTGATCCTATGTATCCCTGCATGCCAGAAGGGGGTTTGTCTGGATCGTCCTTGGGGATCCCTCCCAACTCTAGGATTCTGTGAGGATGATGCGGGAGGGTTCACCATAAAGGAGTATTTTCACATCCACACTGTAATTTCAGCACATCTCCCTCTCTCTCTCTTTGCTTTTGCCTGGTTGCAAAACCACTGTGTGCAGCATAGCCAAAGAGTCTAACCTGCTTGGGATTACTGTGTTTGACAGCGAGGTTCTGCTTGCATCCGCACTTTCCAGAATCTAAGTTCCAGCGGCAATTATGACATCTGTGCTGCTGGGAGCCAAAAGAAAGAAAGAAAGAAAAATCTTCCTCTACTAAAGCTGTGGAAAACAGACCCCAAAGAGTACAACAAAAGCCCTTTCTCTCCAAGAACAACCCAAGGTCTTGTGGTGTCTTAAAAATGGACACGTTGATCATAGAATAAATCTTGGAGAGATACGTCTACTCATCCAACATGCAAAGTGTTATCTACCAATGGTCAATGTGGCCAAACAGAATCTCAGAGTTCCTACTATAACTAAGAGAGCCAACGTGGTGTAGTTGTAGTGGTCTGAGTGTAGGATTATGACTCTGGAGACCAAGAGTTTAAATCCTGCTTGGCCATGGAAAAACCCTGGATGACCTTGGATGAGTCACGCACTCTCAGCCCCAGAAAACCCTGTGGCCTAAACCTAAGGGGTCAACATAAATCAGAAATGACTTGAAGGCGCACAGCAACAACAACAATAATCAACGAAATTAAGAACAGATAGGTGGAAATCCCACAATGGAGTTCCACAATGTACGTCTTTGCATATGGAGTTATGCATTAATTGCCAAAATCTCCCATTGGAATCCCACAGTGTACATCTCTGCACATGGAGTTATGCATTAGTTGCAAAAATCCCACAATGGAGTTCAGTGATGTACATCTCTGCATATGGAGTTATGCATTAACTACAGAAATCCCAAACTGGAATTCAGCAATGTGCACCTCTGCATATGGAGTTGTGCATTAATTGCAGAAATCCCACATTATTGTAATCATATGGCCACTGGAGGGAAAAGACTGTGAAGGAAGCAAAGCATGGAAGAAATATGCTGCTCAGAGCCGAGGGATGTTGGTCAGCCTTCCTTTGGCATAGCTGCATGAGAGCCATCATAGTGGTTCGAGAGAAGCGGTGTCAGGCAAAATGAAGGCATTGCCTCTCAAATAAGAATCCTGCCCCCCCCCGTGCAATTTTCCCTCACTCCCCAAATTTCTAGCACTGCAGAGAGTGAGACATCGGAAGAGAAAAACATTCACACCTAGTTCTCTTTTGCTGTGTGTGCAATCCTGGTGTCACTTTGCAGTCTCTTCCCCTTTTCTTTGGATGCCTGAAGTGGATTGCTAGAGACTCAACTGAAGGTTCAAGCTAGCAGTTCTAGAAATCTGCAGGAAAATTGCATTTGCAGAGGCAAATTATTATCTGGGATGCAAAGCCCTCATTTATGCCCCCTTCCCATACCTACACCCCAATGCACAACTCCGTGGGATGTGAGGGTGCCGCTTTCCCAGTTGGCAAAATGATGTTGTGGATTTGTTTTCCTTTTGGCAGCCATCGAACAAAACACATCACCGTCTTCTTCTTCTGCATGGGATTTTGAGACTAGGAAGACTAGTGCAACCAGAAAGGCAATGCCACCTAGTGATGCTTGCTGTGTACTGTTCTCATCCCCCCCCCCCACAGA